TGCTGCAAAAGCTTTCAGTGGAGTTTTTCATCTTCTGGAAATCTGTTTGCATCTGTTTTATGGATTCCATTTGTTTCCTGTGTTGGGATTCCATCATGTTCCTCAGCTCCTCTATTTTTTTATCTGTGTCCTCTCTAGATTTATTAATCATATCTTTCACAATGGGCACAATCTCTGCTGTTACGTGAGAAATTATTTCTCATTTCACTTTTCCAGATCCTCTTTTGTTGCCAGTTCAGGGAGTCCAGGTGGTTGAGTAACAGATTGTTCCATCTTGTTTTCCTTTGGGGTTGCTGTAGGTAATCTGGAAGTCTGGTTTTGAGGCTTGTTTAAGTGTCTTCTCATTTTGACGGGGGTGGGGTGCTGCTGGAGTCTGCGCAGCTCACGCTCCTGCTGGGAGCGGTGGAATGGTGGCCTGGGAGCCTCCTGGGTGCTGGGATTGGCTCATCTCCTCTGTGCTGGGAGTGGTGGAATGGCTGCCTGGGAGCCTCCTCTCTATTTAAACTCTTAAGAGCTGTAAGTAAAACTTTGAACCAAAAATAGGTTGGGAAGAGAAATTATGTATTTTGAGACTTCAAAGACTTGCTAATAAATCTTTGTAAACTATTAACTAATTGATAAATAAATAAAGCTGTATCATAAGCCTCCTTCAAAGTTGTTTCTGGTAGTTCTTAGAGTTGTCTTAGGTAAGCTCAAAAATATTCTTTGTGTTAGTACATGATGACCACCATATTTCTTGTCTCTCCAAGAGACAAGCCACAAAACTTGCTAAGTTTTGTGCTAAGCCACAAAACTGTTACCTCACTATTGCTAATTTTCATGTGCCTAACATGACCACAGTGATGCCCAAGGCCAAAGAGCTTCTCAAGATAAAAACCACTGAGATATCAAAGCAGGATTTGATTTCTTTTTTTTTCTAAGTTCTTTTATCTTTATATTTTAGGTATACAATTCATTTACATTTATCATTGGGTGTTTGTACCTGTACATGATGTATCTTGGTTCTTATTTTTTCCCACTTACCTGTGCACCCTTCTCCCCCTCCACCCTTCCCTATTTACACAGACATCATTTCCATGATTTTTTTCTTTTCTCATAGTTTTTCCTTTCCCTCCTTTCCTCAAAGGAGTAGGAAAGAGCTGGAAATTCTGTGAAGCATAGCTCAGTTCAAGTTGTCTTTTGACTTTGGCTACAATTATTCATGGTGATCTTATTAGGAAAACATTCTCAATGAGATAGTGGTTACAATAATTGTCTTCATTATAAAAAAACTTTATTATTTTTTTCCATTTGGGCCAATTGAATAACTTGGAAGAATTCAGAAAATTATACTGGAATTTTCCATGGTATCTAATAATATGGAGATCATGAAGAAATTTAAAACACCTATATATTTAATTGGTAATCAAAAAATTCAATCTTCAAATAGTTTATCAAAATTCTGAAAAAGTTGGCATGAGTTGATTATCCTCATTTCCTTTTTCTCCTTTGGATTATCTAGCAGAACTAACACTGAAAATTTTGTTTTTGTTTGATAGCTTTCTCCATAGAGTTATGAAATTTTCTCTATTTTTAGGCATAGCACATGCTTCTTCCTGTAGAACATTCTATTTGACTACAAAGATGCCCACTTTGAACTTTAGCTTTCTCATCTGTAGAACAAGAATAATAATATCCACCTCATGGAGAGTTGTGATGACTGAAATGAAAATATAGGACAAGCACAGGCTACATATTAAGTGTACAACAAATATTATTCTTCATAGGAGAATCTCTTAGTTGAGGGGCTAATGGAGTGTTTTCTTTTTAAGGGAGGGACTTAAAAAAATTATACTTCAATCTCCACATATCTTTCCACTCCATGAAACTGCCAATGCGCAAAGAAGTTATTTGCAGAGGATATGATGATGAGTATTCTTTCTGCAGAGCTCTGAAAGGAGGTAAGCATTTGGTACATATTACCCACAGAAGGGAAAGTAAGTTTTATGAGAATGCTGTAAAAATTAAATACATTAAAACTATAAAGCTCCTTTTTTATCATAATTCTTTCTTTCCACCCTATGTCTTACTTTTAGCAGCTTAAACATTTCACAACTATATTCATTTTTTTGTTGTTTTTTTGAGATATAGTTTCACTATGTAGTTCAGGCTGGTGTTGAATTGGTGGTGATCTTCCTGCTTCAGCCTCCCCAGTGATGGGATTACAGGTGTGTACCACCACACCCAGATACACTTATGTTCCTCAATTGTGATTACAGTGACAATGTATATGAGTGTGTTTGAAGGGATATTGAAATTTTTTTTGCTTTATTCAGATGAATGTTTTATATTTACTCTTAATCATTATTTTCCACAGGAACTCACTTGATTTTTCTGCACAGCCACATTGGTTTCTTTAATATCCTCTTCTTTATTTCTACCTTGACATTATTCAGAGAATCATAGAATTCACAGTTTAGAACCTTAAAGGTCATTTAATGCAAACTCCTAAGTTTGCTCTTAATAATTCTTTTTTTTTTTTTTTT